CCATCAGCAGCTCACCACTTTCGAGCAGTTTTCCGCCACCACGTGATTCTTGTATGGACTTCCCGTTCACAATTCAGAAGCTCAAAGCAGCACTCGCTTCATGCAAACGTACCTCCGCACCAGGACCTGACGGAATATCCTACAGAGCCCTGTGTCATCTGGGTGAGCGCGCGAGAATAGCTCTACTTCAGCTATAGGATGATTGTTGGCTAGAGGGCACTGTCCCCTCAAGTTGGAAAACTAGTCGTCTAGTACCATTACTAAAACCTGGCAAATCACCATTGGAACTCTCCTCCTATCGCCCGATCGCATTGGCTAGTTGCGTGGGTAAAGTGATGGAGAGAATGATTCTCGGCCGATTCGAGTGGTACTTGGAGTATCATGAGATCTACCCAAATGCCATGGCTGGCTTTCGACGTGGTCGATCATCGATCGATAGCGTCATCGACCTAATCACGTATGTTGAACACGAGAAAGGCCATAAGCGTCTTTCCGCCTCTCTGTTCCTTGACGTCAAAGGAGCCTATGATAACGTTACACACGAAGCCGTCCTGACCGCACTAGAAGAGATTGGAGTGGGTGGCCGAATGTTTAAGTGGATACGCAGTTATCTCCAAATGCGATCCTATTTTGTGAATACAGAGACCGGGAACACGTCTACACATTTCAGTTGTCGTGGCGTCCCTCAGCGTGGTGTACTGAGCCCCGTGCTATTCAATATAACACTAATCGCTCTTCATACGCACCTACCAAACAATATTTATCTATCAACATACGCTGATGACATCTGCATCTGGACATCTGCGGTAACTCGCCTGCAGTTACGAGCGAGAATACAGAGAGCTGCTACTGCAACTGCTTTGTATCTACGCAATCCAGGCCTGGAAATTTCCTCCGGAAAGTGCGCTCTTCTGGCATATACGCGCAAAACCATGTCGAATTACAGAGTGTCAATTAACGGTCAAAATATGCCATATCGTCGATCTCAGAAATTTCTGCGTGTCATAGTCGACAGAGACATATCATGAAGCCCTCATGTGTCGTATTTGAAAAAGCGATTGACAGGCATATGCCATCTTTTCAAGTTTCTCGCTGGAAAGACTTGGAGAATGCAGCCTAATGCTATGTTACGACTGTACAGGGTGCTTTTCCTTGGCTTTTTACGATACAGTCTGCCTGAATTATCAAACGCCAGCAAAACAAGTCGACACATGATACAAAGCGTTCAGGCACAGGCGCTTCGAATATGTCTAGGTCTGCCTCAGGGTGCCTCAACAATGGCGACTATAGCTATAGCCAAAGACCACCTCGTGCAGACCCATATTGAAATTGAAGCTTTGAGGACACACATAAGGCATGTGGGCCGGACTCCCCATCACCACCTAGCCTATCTACCAGTAGATAGACCTCATACTTCCTTTTGTCGAACAATAACTACACATGGTGACTCCCTACCAACTGGTTTTACGCTCGCGGCGAGACCTTCAATACCTCCATGGTGCCTCAAACAGCCAGTCATCAACCTGACAATACCAGGCATCCAGAAAAAACGAGATTTCTCAATACCAGCTCTCAAGCAGCTCGCCTTACTTCTGCTGTACGAGAAGTACCAAGACTGCACTCACGTCTACACCGACGGCTCCGTCCTGCCAAACAGCTCAACTGCGGTGGTCGTTATTCCAACGCACGCCACAACCATCAAATTCAGGACAGCTCATGCAACCACAACAACGGCCGCAGAGCTTGCAGCGCTTTGCGCGGCGTTGTGTTTCATTAACGACCAAAGCACGCAACGGTGGACGATTTTCTGCGACTGCAAAGCGACACTGCAGTCAATTCTGTCAAATCTACGCCGTGGTCCACACGAGCAGTTGGTATTTGAAACAGCAGATATGCTACACCATATAACAGAGAAAGGGCACCACGTTATATTTCAGTGGTTGCCAAGCCACTGTGGAATTATCAGTAACGAACGAGCTGATCAAGCTGTCCGTTCAGCCCATACAACGACCAGTCAATACCTCTCTCAAGGACGGACGCTGCTAGGAGGCTCCGCATGCTTGCTCGCCAACGCTCCATGGCTCTTTGGAATGAGCCTCTCTTTACGCATGCAATATTACGATCCCTTGGTCCAACGTTAAGCATGCAGCTTCCAACAAAAATTCGACGAGGCGACGCTACTTCTCTGTGCAGACTATGGTTTGGAGTCGCGTTTACCCGTGCGTACGCGTTCCGCATAGGTATGGCCGACGCCGCTGACTGTGCACACTGCGGAGATGAAGAAACGCTTCGACATATCCTGTGTGACTGCCCGAAATACAACCTGGAAAGACAACACCTTTCTAATAAACTAAACAGGTTAGATGACCAGCCGCTGTCAGAAGAAAGTATACTGCGCCATCGTCATGACTCATCGTCACTGAAGAAAGCCGTGCAAGCGCTACTGGGCTTGTTACGAACTACTGGCCTGTCGGAACGCCTCTGAGTGGACTGATTTTGTGTGTGCGTGTGTGTCGGTGTTTTACTCTTATTTATTTTTTCACTCTCCCTTTCTCTTTCAACCCCCTATTCCCCAACCCCAGTGTAGGGTAGCATACCAGATACTAGCATCTGGTTAACCTCCCTGCCTTCCTTTTTTCTCGTTTCTCTCTCTCTCTCTCTATCTCTCGTGTGTGCCCAACTTCGCAGTCTAAGCCTACTTCAAAGCCCTGCTTTCGGGGAACTTTGATACCGATTAACCTTGTTTCGTGGCTCCAACTTCACCTGGCGGCGCCGACAAAGCACGAATCGATCGCTCGGCTCCGTACAAAGAAGACTTCTGGAAACAATGTGATGTAAGTGCGTGCTCACCAGTGGCCTAGCCCACAGTGGTGCGTCCCTCCAGCAGCGGCGCCGATACAATTAGCGGCGAAAGAGGGCCGACCAGCGATTACGCTGACCGCACTACGTGAGGCGCGTTTTCATAGCGCGCGCGCGCGCCCAACGTCCGAGAGGCGCCTCTTCATTACCGCCTTTCGATTGAAGCAGCGCACAGCCCTCTTTGGTATTCTTTGAGGTTGGCCGGCGTTAACGTTTACCGGCTGGCGCGTGTTGGACTTGACGTGACCGCAGCAAAACGCAACAGCCTGTGCTCAGGAAAGAGTGATGGACAGGGGTCGGTGTAGTCCGCTGCACGCAGCGGCAATACTTCTTTTTTTGCCTTCCAGGAAATGCATCCAGAGAAAAAAAATGAGGTAATCAGAAAGGAGAACCTTGAAGAAAATGTCACGTTTGAGATATAACGTTCACTTTTGGGTTTGGGTAGCGGATGCTCGTTCAATCGGTCACAAGGTTTCTCAGGTAATCCAGTGGGTTGACCACCATCGCCTTTGTAACAAGCCCGATTGTTTACGGGAAATCAACCGAGTCTTAATTTTCTTTTCTCATCCCGTTGTTCTTCCTCGCAAGGAAGTTGCTCTACGGCAAAGCACGCCTAGAACCTGCATATGAGTGAGAAATAGTGATCGCTATTGTGCACGTGTGTGTGTGTGTGTGTGTGTGTGTGTGTGTGTGTGTGTGTGTGTGTGTGTGTGTGTGTGTGTGTGTGTGTGTGTGTGTGTGTGTGTGTGTGTGTGTGTGTGTGTGTGTGTGTGTGTGTGTGTGTGTGTGTGTGTGTGACGTTTCGACTAATGAACCACGTTTGCTAAATGTTCCTACGTAAACTGCTCACGCAACGTTCGCAGTTCTTGCGGAAGCCGTTCATGTGGCAACCGCCCCAGAAAATGGTATGACGGCACAGTGGGACCGAGGTGCACTTTAGTAGTTAGTAATCATTTTCAAGCAAGTTTGTTCCAGAGCGAAACAAATGAGGCCGAAAGACGAGGGCTCCTATGCCTCTTCCTTTTTTGGCCTCGAGCTGACATGTTTCTCGCTGGAAAACGAACTTGCTTCTGGAGTGTGACCGCAGCATGCACTCTGATGCGAAAGCCTTTAAACGAACCTTGTTGCCCTGTCACACCCTCTCTCTTTTTGTCCGCCACACAACTGAACTTTCACGAAAAGTTTTCCCACGACTACGACACCTAATGTGAATTTTGAGCACAGCTTCGTGCTGGTCCAAGGCTGACTGTGTTGGAACTCTTGGCTTTCCTCAAGGTATGGAGCACGCCATGTATCATAACTTTTGTGAAGCAGAACTACTCGTTTTTTTTTGCGGATAAGTGAGGTGCCCGCAAAACATTCGCAAGGTATTACGTGCGTTTTGTGGATTCTGCATTTGGCTGATGAGGATGAAGAATTTCGGCTGGTTATTTCGCAGCGCTTGGGAATCATTAGGCCATACACTAGTTGCCAATTTAGCATTGTGCGATAATTGATTGTTATTTTACGCTTCAATACATAGGTTACCGCTATTCCTTGAGTGGCAGGAATGACGCCTGTATATCGTATTTTTGCAAATGACTTTTTAGCACCATCGTGGCTCTGTGGTATAAGTACTCGAATGGCAGGGCCTGGCAGCCTATACTTGGCTTAGCCTCCCACATCCCTCTCCCCTTCTATGAATAAAAGTTGTCACTTACTCAGTCACCCAGAAAGGCCGGGTTCAAATTCCATTTGATCGTGGGCACTTACATATAATTTTGTGTGTTCATGTCTATCGGTAACGCCACGGACAGTGACGGTGACTCTGCTCAACGCAGAACCATGCATCTACGAAGTGCGCTCTAGAGTAATACGGAAAAGAAAGAATAAGATACCGGATCATCTTAGCAGCTTATTAGGAGTACTTCATCAGAACCACTATGCTTTGTATTATGTTGATGACGTCAGTAATTAAGGTGAAATCTTCAGCGAAAAACAAAACTGTTAGACAAGGTATAGAGGCGACACGTACCCAGTGTGGTCCGTCCTGGTTTACTCTGAAGTTTTCACCTTAAAATGCTGTGTACCAACTATGTCTAGCAGAAGTTTCATTGATACAGATGAGAGTGTCTGTAACTCAGAATCCAAGCTCGACTGACCTGTTGTTGCGGCCGCTTCCCGCCTGCACTCCGACGTCGCTTGTGGCCACACTACGGGGCGTCATGTCGATGTCGAGGTGGATGCGCTTGCTGAGCATCAGTATACTCTGCTCGGCGTCCATCATGAGCATCTGCTGCTTGAACGCCTTCGCGTTAACGGTGACCGGTGTGCCGCCTCGGTTCATCAGGTTGCCGTCCGTGGTAGCCACCAGCCTCGGGTCGGCGAAGCGGATGCCCTCCTGCGAGCCTCCGGGTGAAGCCCCGTTCTCGACGACACCTTCGTCTGTGTAGTCGTCGCCGAACGACGACAGGTCATCCTCGTCGAAGTCTAGGTCGTCTTCGTTGTAATTTCCGCGCGTCATGTTGTAGTGGATGTCGGTCTGGGTGTCCCGGTCACGCTGCTCGTACTTGTTCTCCACCTGCGAAAGTGAAGACATGAAGTTAATAGGTCAGATTCGCGGCGCATTTTTTTTGTGGCCCTGCTGACTGCAAGGCTGTGCTTGAGGCGTAGACAGAAAAGGGGGGGATAACATTCCCCTCTGAGAAATTTTAATTTGGCTTGTGTACAAATACACGCCTACATACAAACGCACGCACCAACATAAAGTATGCTTACACCCCCCTCTTCCCCCATGAAAATTTCTGGCTAAGCCCGTAGTCTGTACCAGCCTTAGTTTGAACATACAACAGCGCATAGCGTACATAAAACAGAAAAGGAGAAAAAACGCACGCTACCGCTCATCATTCGTGCTTTTTACGCCCTGTGTGTGTGTGTGTGCGTGAGTGTGTGTGTGTGTGTGTGTGTGTGTGTGTGCGCGCGCGCGCGCGCGCGCGTGTGTGTGTGTGTGTGTGTGTGTGTGTGTGTGTGTGTGTGTGTGTGTGTGTGTGTGTGTGTTTGTGAACATTTATGTCAAAGCGATAAAATACTGCCTTCTAACTTTTAAACTCCTACATCCCTTTCCCCGGGGTGGCAGCAAAATGGTTAACGTTCATGCTAATCCCCTCTTTCCTATCTTCCGTCCTTCGCACGAAGGACAGTTTTGTTACAGTGTACGCATATTGGCCGCGAGGGCCTCCACTGGAGGGGCCGGCGCTGCGATCGTTTTGACGTCACAGATAGGGTGTTTCTGCTCGCCTTGCTGCGGAGTCGTTGTGGAACACAACGTTCGGGTTAGATTGCGGTGGGCGGCATTCGTTTCGTAGCGTGTAAAGCTTAATTTGGCCTGCTGGACATATGATTGCGATGTAAGCAGTGCTAGGTTGCTTACAAGAATCCTTTGATAATAGTATAATAACTGAGGTTTTACGCCCAAGAACCACAATATGATTATGAGTGACGCTGTTGTGGAGGACCCCAGAAATATGGGCCATTTGTTGTTCTTTATTGTGCGTGGACCTGCAGAATGTTGCCTCCATTGAAATGTGACCACCGCTGCCGGGATCGAACGACGTCAGAAGCCGAGCACCGTATAACTGCCACACCACCGCGACGGGCAGCAAGCAGCTTTAGCTTGTTGGTCTACTGTTATGTCTCAGTGTCAGACGTGTGCGACAGATGTCCCAGTAACCTTTAATCATTGCCCGAACTGCGAAGACATGCGCTACAATTGACTGGCAAAGCTGAAAAGGGGATAAGACGCCAACGCTTATTCGCGGGTCCGCAGAAAGCACTTTCGTGATGAATATTCCGTGTACGCCGCCGTTGCTGAGATCTTCAGTAACAGCTGAGCTGACGTATGCTCACGAAGGCTCCTGGCAGCTCATTGCGCGCGTTTGCTGATTAGTTTATTGATGATTGAAAGCGACAGGCTCACTGCAAATTAACAAAATAAGTAAAAAGAAGACCAGTAGAGGTCCTTATGAAACATTTTGTCACATATACCATCACATCGAAGGCGCTGAAAACTAACACGCATTTGTTAACGACAAGTATAAGCCAAGGCGAAAAGTAGATGAAGTAAAAAAAAAGACACGCCGATTACGGTTTGTCTTATTAGACCACAACTGAAAAGAGCAACGGAGGGCAAGAAAATTGGCCTTGCTGTTCCCACGAGCGCTTCTAGGAATGCTGGTCGATTCTCCCCGTTCACCATTCATCCGTGTTCGTTGACAGCTGTTCATTTGGACAGCACGGACGGGTGTTATTACTGTTCTGCGGAATTCTTTCGGGTAAAACATTTATAACGTAACAGCAGCTTAGCTTTCGCGACATAACTTGCGTCGTTCGCTTTGGAATCTGCTGCGCAGGGATCGTAGTGTGCTACAAATGAGTACCACCGGAAGACACTCGCTCGTGCGCGGTTTCTTTGTCCGAATTATCAGGAATTTCATTTTGAAAGACAGGGCGTGGTGGTTACGTCCAACGACAGGACACAGGCGACTTCCTTCCTGTGTCCGTGTTCGCGTTTTTCAGAATGAATACGTAACCACTGGCTCTGTGATCAGGTCATACCCCATCTTTTAAAAAAATGACCTTTATGACAAGCGCGAAGCACGCACGGTGCACGCAAGAGAAGCACGCAGTTGAAAAAGCGCAGGAAATGCGGAGTAACAGCAGACGACACAACCTGGCATCCCATGTGTGACGTAATGACATAGGTGGCACCATGCTATGTCCTCGAGGCCAATAGCTGTCCTTATATAAAAGGGAGTGAAATGTCACTAGGAATACAGCGAGGTTAACCTGAAGATAAATATCCAGCTTGGTATTCTGCACAGAGAAAATAGAGGAGGCGTAAGAGGCTAAATTACAAAAAAAAAATGTTCTCCGTAAGTGGCCTGTGAGAAACTTTTTTCCACGATGACCCGTTCACATTGATCTATTGAATTAACGTCAATCTATCACAAATTATAACACATTTTTCACCCTCCCTCTCTTCTTTTTTTTGACATTTGCACTGGATACAGCCACAACTTACACAAACGTCCACTCCTGATTTCGGGCATTCCACAGAGTTATGCTTGTGCCTACTTAGGCAGCGGAAATCTTCTGGCTTTGGCATAGCTAGCGAAACACAACTATGACAACGTAAGCCTTTGTGATACAAGAGGTAGCGTTTAGCAGTAATGTCCCTAAGAAGGGCACATTACGCAATCTAAATTCTCACGCAGGCAGTGAGCGAAACATCAGGTTTTTGAAGTGTGAGTTTTATTCTCTTGAAGTAAATTAAAGAAGAAAAAAGGCTTACTTAAGCTGTTCTGTTCGTTAATTTGTAAAGGAAGCGTATTACGATTTGACATTGTCAATTTTCTTTTTTTTTCAGAGCTGTTCCACTGAACAACGCAAAAGCACTCATCAGGAAAGTGCCTCAAGTTATTGTTAGTTTTTTGTATACGGTCTTAAAGGGGCCCTAGAAAACTTTTGTAAGTAGCCATGGAATTAACTCAGTGGAGGAGCTTATTACCTGACTAATTCAATGCTGCAAAAATTTTAAGAATCCATCCACTACGAGTGCAGTTACAAAGGTTCGTCGCACGCTGCAATTGCATTCTCCCTTCTTTTGTACCGACAAAAGCGCTGGAAGCTATGCAGGAAAGGATGGCTGGGGCAAGGAAAATACGTCACGGGCGCCTTACGTCTTTGAGCACTTTTCTTTTTTTATTTTAAAGTGCCGCTTTTTCAGTGTGATCGCGCGCGCACGCGTGGACAAGTGGCGGCCTCCCGTGGTGATCGCTGTAACAACCGAGCGCGCCATGTTCAAATTAGCCAATTGCTGATAAATGGCTTTCTACGAGTGATTTTTGAGCGCCTTCCGTCATTTGTCGAGAAAAGAAAAATCAATTTATAGCCCAATTTTATAATTTATTGTGAATTTCAGGCCGCGATTTGCGCTTTAATATTTGACACGCGTGTTGTCGGGAGCCTCGACTACCGATCGACAGTGTTTTCTGGCCTTGCTCAAAAGGTGTTGCAGGGCCCCTTTAATAACAAAGGCGAAACCATCGTGATGGACGCGAACAACTCACGCTCAATGATCGCTCAATGTCCTAACTCTTAAGCTCAATGTTGTGTGGCATAGTGCGTCGTTCGTTTCATTACGTGCGAGATTATCAAGCATCGTTGGGTATATCATTATGCATTACTGCAACTGGGTACGCAGTGGCGAAAGCGGAAGCGTGAAGATTCGTGCCCCAATCTTCTTGTCTTGCTTTCTCTAGAGCGGCATCGATCGCCATTGCAGCCGTAATAACCTCACGATCGCGTGACATCTGGCACTGTATTGAAGCCACGTGCATACTACGTGTACTCACGCACCTCGAAGGACAAGAAAGAGACGTGAACTCCGCGCGGCAAAAAACAAGACTCTGAGAACAGATCTCGTCTCTGCATTTCGGAAGTGCACATATGTCTGACGTGGCGAAATACGGGAACGTCTGCGCAATGAGGTTTCAGAGCCCATAACTTGGACAAGAAAAAAAAATTAAGGGAAGATTGCGCGTTATGCAAAGTGTTCACGATTTCTACACTGTCTATCTTGTATCAAGCAATGCTTCGACCAGGAAGAGGAGGATTGAGTTATAGGTTACTCATTATGCACTGATAAGCTTGTCTGTGCGCCATGGTATTGATCTTAAAGAGCGTGCAAGACACAAGCACACGCACGCACGCGCACACCCTCACACGTCCGTACCTTCACACACACAAGTGCACACAAACACGCACACACACACACACACACACACACACACACACACAAGTACGCACACGCACGCACACACAAAGAACATGCAACCACAACCGCTGGAGTTCAACTGCTACAACTGGAAGCTTCCCGTTTTCGGGGGACTTCTCGGTCACAAACCGTGGGGGCGCTATGGGCTTCACATAGCTAGAGTTACTGTATAGACTACCTATTGCATATAGAGAAACTCTAGGCCTAGTATTCTTAATTGTAAAATAGTGAGCACACAGTTTTCTAGAAAGGAAACACAAAAACACAAGATGATTATCGTTGCGTAGTAGTAATATGGCACAAATACAAATTTGAGTATAGCCCGCTGGGGTGAATTTGTTGCTTGGGTATCCGGCTGCTCAACCGAAGGTAGCGGGCTCGATCTCGGTCGTGGCGGTCACATTTCGATGCCGGTAAAATGATGGAAGCCCGTGTACTATACCATGTCAGCGGACGTTAAAGAACACCAGATGGTCACAATTTCGGGAGTCCTCCACTACAGCGTCTCTAGTAATCATTTGTTTTTGCTTTTTTTTTTGAACTACGCACAATAATGTTACATTGATTGTATAAGACATTCACGCCCACAACGACCACCTCATTAACCGAGTAAGCACATCTAATAAGCAGAGATTTTCAACAGCATCCCTACAATCAGTGTGCGGCTACCTAACGATAATTAGTGGAGTTCCAAAAGTTCTAATAGCGTGCCAAAACTACGCTAATATTGTGACAGCACGAGGACACAGGACAATAAAGCAGACGACACGCTGTCCGTGTGTCCTGGCGTTGAAGTGTATAGTGTCATTAGTTTCCAATAAGCCAAAGCTGCCACTCGAGTCAATTCTATTACATGAGACATGCCATAGTGAGCGACTCCTGAATAATTTCGAGCTCCTAAGGTTCCTTAATGAACGCGTGTTTAAAGTTAGGCATTTGTGTTTTCTCTTCAATTAAATTTATGAAAAATTTAGGAAGGATCAACAACCTGATATATAGTTATGCTGCCCTTTTTTGTGTGCAACGGCAAGGTTACCGGGGAGAGCCTAACCGCGAAACGATAACGTGGCAAACGATATGAAATAATTGTAATCATTTTTTTTTCTTACGCGCGAAATTGCTAGGTGTGAACACAGGTGACAACCTACGCTGCAAATAGTGAGTGCGATAACGTTTCGTGTGCTTCTGGAATGGTGGTCGACTGCGAGCACTGCTACCGCGAAAGGCAGCGTCGCTTAATTCTCATCGTCGCCATTCATTTTACCTCTAAGCAGCTCTAGATGGAGTGGGGATAGATAATGATGTACATACTAATTTTCAGAAATAACTTATGGCGCGCATCACAGCACCAAGCTATACGTGAATGCGTACAGCAAAAGTGATCGATTCCATAATTTAAGCCCCTAGCCTATCCCGTTAGGCTGCGCGACATACCGCTTTTTGTTAGAGTAACTTAACATGCCACCTTTAGGTAGCAGAGTTGCCCATTTGTTTTCTAAAGACGCTAGCAACCATGCACTGCGGAGAAGCTGGTGCACAGGTCACACCCGGTCGCCGGTCACCCATTGCAATCGATCACGTGACCGTCGTGTGCTCTGTAGCCCGTTAGCTACAAACTGATGCTTTTAGTTGCTTAGCATCTATCCCCTTAGGCTGCTACAGCAAACTATTTGCGGGTATTCAGCACCATTTCCGAAAAAAAAAAACATAGTGAAATAAGCAATGTCCTAGGCATTGTGGGGTGCTCTATGAATCTCGGAGGATTTATATTTTGTGTTTGTGAGTTGTTGCTTATCTTCCATAGCTGGCGCCACTGGAACGTGCGGCAGTGGCGGTGCATGTTATTTGGGACCACGCTACGCCTTTGCGCAATTCGTGAACGGAGCGACTAAAAATGCTTTTGAAACAGTCCCGGAAATAGGTGTTTCTTCTCTATTCGCCATTGACACGACTGACGATCAGCGGCACGCTTCATCGATCGGCGACAGGCTTAAGCAAGCCTCCTGAATAAACAGAGCGCAGCTTCGCCGCGCAACTATGGTTTCTAACCAGGCAAGGTGGCGGAGCTATGCGCTGTTCTGATCCAGTAGGGAGCATATACAGTTGCTCTAGTTTTTGTTACTTATAAACATGACTTCAATATATGAATTTTACTGTCAGCACGAAAAGGATGCTGGAGTTTGTCCCTATATTTCCCGGGCTTTTCATTTCTACTAGGATCTAATCACACCTTCTGACCAGCTGTCGGTTCCTTTAGGCTCCACCCACAGATCCGTGCTGTGCCTGCCTTTCATTTGTGAAAGACAGTCGGGCTAGCTGGTTTCCGCTGGAACCAAAAGTGATTTTTCTTAACTAACACAAACACTGTTCATATTAAGAGTGTAAAAGCTGGAGGCTCATTGGTAAAAGCCAAAACATCACGCTTTAATGGGTATCAAAACCGGCCAACATGTTCATCTTCCCGACCTAAAACGAGTGGCGCAAATGGTGTGGGAAAGGCGCTGTCTGAAACACTCAAGAGGTGCCTGTCGTAGCAAAAACGCGTGAGCTCTATTGAATAGAACATTTATGAACTTTTCCTGTGGGAAGTACATGGAAAAAGCTACCATTTTTGTTTGTTAAGTTGTAGCCGACTATAGTTGTGTCCTTTAACGATGGAACGTGACACCGACCAGCCCAGCGGCCCTCAAATGTGAGTCCACTGACACCGTGAAGTCCGAGAAGCCTATTTGGTGGATCCGTGCAACCCATTCACGAATAACAAAGAAAGAAAATAAAGGCGTTTTTTTTTTCTTTTTTGAGGCACATCGTGTTTCGTAACAATGACCCGGGCCTTCCGAGTTTTTGTATGGATCACTGCATAACAGTTTTGCATTGCGGCAGAGTTGGCTTATGCTTTCCTTCCTCATGAGCTGGTTGTGAAGCTTTTGTTGCAAGTTTCTGCAACCTGGGCATGCCAGTACACATTTTCTAGGCTTGCTTATTTGTAGAGCAAGCATACAAAGGAAAAGAAAATTTGGGCAGCTTCGCAATAACGGGTTCCACTCGAAAGCAGTATGAAACTAGACAACCACCTTTGTTTTTCTTTTCGGCTTTGTTTTGTTTCCTACTATCTATTTTTCTATTTTCCTGTCTTCTTCTGTCTTTTTTCGTCCTTTTTTTTCTATTTATTTGGTCTGGTTTTCTTATCAATTTCTCTCTTTTTCTTCCTCTTGTAGAGATAAGAAGTAAGAGAAGCTCTTTCTGTCTTCCTATTTTTTTCCCTTTTTCTCTCTCTCTATTCCGCGCTTGCGTCTTCTTTTTTTTTGCTATTTTTATAGGATGTCTCACTGCGTTACCCCAAGCGGCCACACCATACGAGATCCCAGGTCCCCAAAAGTGATTCGCACTTAAAACGTTGATTGTAGCTGCAGGCCGCACCACTCATTGACAAGCTGTTGAGATCGAATCGGCGGGAACCTTTGAGGTGACCATTCATTGCCAGGGCACCTGGCAAAGAATGGTCATAAAGGGCACCTATTGCGTGCTGCATTATGCTTTAATTTGTGGCACCCCCTTCCCACCCACATTTTTTTTTTTTCTTTCGCTGCGACGCGTTCCTCAACACTTCCATTGGACCAGTAACCACTGAACTATAGCTCTACAATGGACACTTGTACCACGGCGGGCCACTCACCTGCACCTGGGCGTCTACCAGCCTCTCGGCGACTGCCGTCGGAGTGGATCGCTTGGAGCCGTCTTGTGACCAGCGTACCTGGGCGGCGAAGCCTCGCTTGGGCTGCTGGGACGAAGGATCGGCGGCCGCGTGCACTTTGCTCACCCCGCAGCCCATCGTGCGCACCACCTGCAACACCAGCAAGGGCGCAAAGTTCTCCATCGCGTTCGCCGTAGCGGATCTCTTCTGCACTGCGTAAACGTACGACCGTGCCACCAACGGCGTCTGTGAAGCAATAGTGCGCATAGAGTGTCTACTGCAAGGCAGCGCGGTCGTTTTGTCATGATCACTCATTGTTTTGCGCCTATGTTCGCGCGCGCTCTCTGCCGCGTCGTTGATTATGCGTGAAGCAATGTACGGGCAGAGGCAGAGCAGGCGCGCTAGTGTAAACGGCAGCGTCATGCGTTCGTATCTGTCGCAGTTCGGATTCTACCGTTTGTTCGCCATCGTGACAAATTGTAGCCCAGAATGAGGCAGTTTGATCGGATGGTAAATGTAGCGCTTACCTAGTCGTCCCTATTTCTATCGCGATGCCCGCTACGGTGCTATGGTTCATCTCGCCTTCTAGTTCTTGTTCCTGTTGAAATCCGCAATTTCGTAGCCACTCAACTGGAGGGGAAAAGGTGTACCGATAGAAAAACAATAGTTTCCTCTCATCCTAAAGATCAAGGGGTGACTCCCACTGCCTTAGAACGGGGTGAAATATCAAGACGTTACAAAGAGCGGCACGTTCTACAAATGAGTGTTTGGAGGGTAATTCTGTTTGATTATTTCTCTTTCTGGTATGGACTGCAGTTTGGCAGTGAAGTTAAATTTGTGTGAACAGCCCGGATAGTAACTACCAAAGCCCACAATCAATACAGGCGAGTAAAGCATGCGGTGCAATATTTGTGGTTATTAGTTGAAAGATAGCAATCACGACATAAAGGCGAATGAATCAAGGAAAATGAAAAGGCCAGTACAACTCTTCTTAGCATTCGATATCTTGTCTATCTCCAGAAAAAAAGCACAAAAAACTCAGACGGTCCCTTGTACATTTACTTGAGACAACCCAAAGGCTCAGTCATCTTTTTTTTTTTCTTAACTTCTTAGTCGATATAGTGACCATCACAGCACTTAATATTTTTAGTTTTATTTTCTTCCCATTTAAGTTGTAGCTTCCTGTGGGCGACTACTATGGTAGCAAATATTATGAAATTTTTTCATTGCAAAAGATGATGGGGCACATTGACAATATGGGTTTTGTGGAGACAACACGGCCACCTTTCCTAAGTCATAAAATTTTTAAAGTAGAATACCTATACACTTTTCGCCTGCTTCAATCATTCTGTTTCTATAAAATGGCTTTCAAGAAATTTCGTGCGTCTATTGCGTCATTGACACGTAGTGTCACTTCCGCCAATATCAGAAGTAATAACAAGTGTTATGTTCCTAGAATTCGTAATAAATATAGCATACAATCATTACAGCACAACTTGCCACATATTTTAAATCGATATAAATATGTCAACTGCCTTTCAGTGAATGAACTTCTGATTCACTTTGTTAACATGTGATCATGGAACGTCAGACCTACTTTTGTAATTATTGTTTTCAATGTTTCACATGTCACAGCCAATTGTGTATAGTTTCTTGTAACTTTTACATATATTCTTCTCTTCTTCTGCATCTAATTTGTTTTCATTATTCTTATATTATTTAGATCTTGTTTTGTACATTTCTGTGAATATTTACCTTTCTTAGTTTCTACCAATGTTGCTATTTTTTTTTGTTACTACCACCACGTGAATTGACCATCGGCCCAGTCAAGCTGTTTGCCAACAACCTTTAGCCAATGGTATCCTCCAGAACCCTTGTAATTCTGGAAATAAAATCTATTCTATTCTATAACTCCATTCTACTTACCGCCCCCCTGTAAAAATATTTGGATCTAACGTGGTATTGCGCTGCCTACAGCAGGTATTGGTATTGCGCAGCAGGTATTGGTATTGCACAAACTCGACAACTCAACTCAGAGAGCTGGACGTGGTCTTGTAAATAACACCGAGAGAGAGAGAGAGAAACAACATTTATTCACGCATCCGGCGTGCGGGAAGTCACCGGCCACGCAGGGCGGAGGTATTCCCTATCTGAAGACTATAGCTAATAGAGTCCTATAGTCCCAGGGCCTAGATCTTGAGGACGTTGTGCTCTGGCTAGGCGTTGGATACTCGGGCTCCTCTGCTCCTGTTGTCCGGGGCATCGGCTCCCTTTCTCCTCTGCTTTGCCAGGGCCTCCTCAAGCCGCTGGATGGCCCTTCGTTGCGTCGTTCAGTCTTCGGAGCGTATCCATGCTCCCACCTCTTCGGAATACGTGGCGTCCTGGCACTGCCCGTGTCCAATGTTCACAGCAGTGTTACACCCGCCCCACATGATGTGGCGGAGGGTGGCTAGTTCCGAGACATCGAAGCCGATCGCAGTAAGTAGGACATGGGGGGGGGGGGGGGGGGGGAGGTACGGTTGAGCCAAACAATTAAAAAAAAACACCAGGCCTGCGCGGAACGCGCAGCACAGGCATAGCAAAAGTTAGAAGAGTGCCCTTTCCGAGCCTTTTTTAACACTCTGCACTGTGGGTAACTGCCACAAACACACTTGCAGGGCACCAACTACGTCATAAGTCATCGAACTTTTTGTGTATTAGGGAGGCATTTATTATTCCATCTTTCGTCATTCTTCAGAGATGCATGGTGCCCGCTACACACTCGCAAGAAATTTTGAGTAATTTTTTAAAATCTGCAGCTGATGACGATGAAGAATTGTGTCTGAGGCTTTTTTTAAAGGTCGGTGCATTTGACGATCCACTCGTTGCGAAATTCGCACTGTGCGACGCCTGGATGTTCCTTAGCTGTTCTAAAACGCTATATTACTCATTTAAATGCGATTTCTTTCTTGATATAAAACATCTCGAGGTCAGTTCGGACCAGAGTGACAAGCACCGACGTGGTCCAGTGGTAAAATACTCAACTGGCTGGCATGGAACCCTGCGTAGGCCTGGTGTTTTTTTTTTTCTTCTTTTTGAAAGAAAATAGTCTTTTTTGGGGACCTTCGATGAAAACATTTTGGTCTGCCTGCCTGCCTGCCTGCCTGCCTGCCTGCCTGCCTGCCTGCCTGCCTGCCTGCCTGCCTGCCTGCCTGCCTGCCTGCCTGCCCACCTGTCTGTCTGTCTGTCTGTCCGCCCTTAACGTTACTCCAAACGGCATTAAACAGCCGACCCCATCAGCAGCGCCCACCAATATTACTCAAGGTTTAGCGTTCATAGTTGTGCGATGGGCAGTTAAATAGCAAATATTGCACATATCTGAGACGCCATAACAACAAGTTGAAGTTTTGTATGTCTGCCTTTATACTAGAAGAGGCACACACAAGTAAGTGTTTCCAACGCTTTGGTACGACGACATGGCGGTGGCACCTGCCCGCCGCTTTGCGTTCTACACGCTAACACCTCTGAGACAGGCGCGCATCTTTCTCCGCGGGCACGCACGCCTCCGTTTTCGAAGGTAACTGCCAGATGTCGCTCGTGTCTAACGGGCCTAGATGCGCTCGTTCACCTCCACTACACGCTCGAGGCAGTCTAACCGTCAGCGCCTCCAGAATACTATTCACCAATTTTCTTGCGCAGAACATTAAATAAACGTTTTATTCACTCTCTCCAGACGCAAGACTATCGTCTTTTGAAGACATTTGCAGTGTAACGTGCATATTCGAGCCCATTTTTTTTTCCTTATTTCGTGCGATAATGGCTACTGACACCGGTGGCGGCGGCGCACAGGTACGGCGCACGCGTTCCTTGTGATCTCATAGCAGGTTTCACTGTAAATGGCTAGTAGTTGCCATTCCATATCTCCTATAAGGGTCATATCCTAAGGGTGTTTGGCATCAAAGGATACGAACAAGATGTCGATCTGCACAATGACTAAAATCAGAACCCCGATTCCAAAACTTAATTTTTTGCCCACCGAATGGGGGGCCTAACGAAAAAGTATAGAATACATTTTATACCAGTATACGTCAGCGTAGCATATCCAAACGAAGCGTTGTCAATCTGAATAGACGAGACAAAAACGTAAGTACAGTGGGGCAACGAGCCACAAAATTGATTGATTGATTGGTTGATTGGTTGATTGATTGATTGATTGATTGATTGATTGATTGATTGATTGATTGATTGATTGATTGATTGATTGATTGATTGATTGATATGTGGGTTTTAACGTTCCAAAACCACCACACGATAATGAGAGATGCCGTAGTGGAGGGCTCCAGAAACTTTGACCATATGGTGTTCTTTAACGTGCACCCAAATTTGAGCACACCGGCCTACAGAATTTTCACCTTCATTGAAAACGTAGCCGCCGCAGCCTAGATTCGATCCTGCTGCCTGCGGGTCAGAGAGTGACAAAAGTTCACTCCCATAGTCGTATAGGATATTGCACGAAAACATGTCTGGGCACGGATCGCATGTTTGTGACTCTTGGCCTTGAGTATCGGAGGCATTGAGGGTTTTGTGCGCTCTAACCAGCTTTTGCTATCCTCCGTGATAGAATCAACTTTGACGCAGTGATGGTGACATGGGATGACATCGTCATGTGACATCACCTAATGTGATATCTTAGTGACGTCACAAAGTTTGCAATTTGTGACATATATTGACGTCACATGATGGCGCTATGACGTTATCATACTTTCGCACTCATGTTGACACCGTCGATGTCAGCGGTCAATTCTCGCACTTGATGAAGCATCAAGGGCTGTCGCCCTGATGTAATGACTTCTAGAAAGTTTAAACACTGCAACGGCGCCGTTGGTCTAATTATCTCTCAATCGTTCTAGCTCTTCTGCTCAGTACAGAGCCGCCATCTACAACAGCTTTTCAAGGAGATCAGTGCGCGCTGGAACCTTGGAAAATCATTAGTCCAAAAGCGTGATTCATAGATGTAGCCTGTATCGCGAAACATAGATGAGCAAAGAAAGCCAATAGCTTCGTTTGAAAGAGCAGACACACGAACTTAAACCCAATTTACTGATGAAGCGAAGAACAAGCATGAACTTGCCCGCAGAAAAGCAAACACGCGTACGATTATTTCTTAGCAAACCAGGTGAATCGAAGAGAAACAATTGATATCACATGTAGGGAATC